GAAAAAACATCCCCTTTGCAAGTACCGTTGGTCTAGACTCATCCCACATTGTTGTCCGGATTTCATCAAAATCCCTTGTGAGAGCTTCCACATCCGGCACGGTCGGCAAGTTATCAATGTAAGGAATCTCTCTTGAATGAAACGGCACTTCGGACTCATACACTCTTCGTCTAGGGGGGTCTCTCTTCAAATCAGGTCCTTCCTCCTGATCCTCTGCATCACCATCCTCACGAGCAAAGGGTGTCTCATCCCCGGATTCATCCGCATTGTTATCGTAATCACTGTTATGTTCCTCACTCTGTGCATCTGCCAGGTCCCGATGTAATACATTATTTTCGGGCAATTGAGTGAGTTTAACTTGCTCGTTTTCACTGCACAACCAACAAAAATATAAGCTACTAAATTAAGAAATGATTTTCATATTTTGCGTAAATCACTTCACTTACAAGTCGTAATGTGATAAAATTCCATGATGGACGTTATCAATTAGGTGATGACTACCGGATGGGCCACTTGTAAAATTCATATCCGGCCGGTACCCCCTATTAAATATGTGAGCGTTAATACAAATTCAATACAACAAAAATATACATAATTAACACAAATGAAAATTGAAATTTACCACTCGTCTTGTGAGTTATGGAAAGCAGGGTATAAATTATTTTCTCGCTGCTCATTCACCAGCGGTGATAAGTTTAAATCAAAAATTACTCTTTCATCCGGAACTTATCCGGCAAAAACTGTTCCAGAATAACCCCCCGATGACTGGGGGTTATCTCTACTACGCACAACCTCATTTTTTGGAACGTCTTCGACCTTCACGTACATCTCCAACATTGTGATTACAAGAAAATCCCGACATTCGTCCGGAGTCCTCAAAAAATCACTCAAAGTTTCATCATCGTCGATGTTAAACTCCGAGTAAAAAGCAACCCCTTGCGGAGTGACGGAATAAAGATATCTTCCGGTTACTTTAAATATCGCCGAACGTTTTCTCACACTCATTTTTTTGCATAACAACGATATCAATGTATCGTACTCCATTGTCAGTGGTAATTTAACATGACACTTAGTAGGATAATTGTAGCCCACAGAGTTATTCTCCATCACAACCTCACCACCCCAATATAATGAAACTCTTATCCTACGCTCTTCAGACATAATAAAAAAATGCTGGAGAATTTAACAACAACAGACGTTTCAACAAGAGTTAAAAAAAATTTTGAATGCATTTCTATGCGATTCTAACCTCTTTATATAGAAAATAGAGAGCCGGGAAGTTATTTTTTTTACATATATAGCGCCAAATAAGTTGGCACTATACGCTTTAGAATTATTGTACTCTACTATTATTACTTGGGTCAGGAAAAAAGGATATAACGCCAGGTTTTCTGGCGCTATATCACTGTGACAGTGTATAACGCCAAAAAACCTGGCGCCATACATTAACGGTGCAATTACCGTTATTATATAGCGCCAGGTTTTCTGGCGTTATATATATTATGGTCACCTTTGTTTTTTTTTTTACACTTATTTGTGTCTTTTGAGTCCAAAATAATAACATTTTGGTTCCGGACTCTAAGAGTGTGCGGTATGTCGCCAATTGTAGTAGTGACCTACATTTCAGTGACGATCGGCAACTTGTGTACCATCAATATTTGATTTTTTATTTTTTATTTTGGTATAAATAATAGATGATGGAATTTCTTTGTGAAAACTCTGTCTTCGCCACTGCTCTAAATATAATAAATTTTAAATCTCTATGGCAATTTGGTCAAACAATTAATATCGATCCATGTCTAGACGTTCCATGTGTTATGTCCATTCAATCAGCAAAATCCAACTCGTATGAAGATGGAATTTCATTACTTTGGGAAAAAGAACTTAGTCATTTCACTCCATTAATTATTATGCAACAGTTTCAACAAAAAAAATGTTTTTAAGCTCTTATTTTTCTTGTTTTGATAGTAATTTCTAAGGATAGATGAGTTTGTCTTTCAAATGCAATGCGTTAGCTTTCGTACTGGTGGAGCAAGTTTCTTGATGATGCATTGTGAATGATATATTTACAGTAAAATTTTCGCAACTAAGCAACTATATTATAAAATATGTAAAAAGTGTGCACATGAAGTTTGATTGAAATCAATGGCGGAGCTGGAATTTTGATTAATGAATGTCAAAATATATAAAAGTAAACATAAAAAAAAAAACAAGGAGAGTCAACATATATAGCTAGCGTTTGGCCATAGATCCCAAATTTATTTTGAAAAATCTGATTTGGGTGAAGTTTGGTTTGAAGATGAAAATGTGTTTGGACATACAATTTCAAAACATATTTTTCAATTTTATTTTGGGAAAACATGTATATAATTCCCAAGTTTTGGAAATTTGGCCCAAATTCAGCTTATTAGCTGAATTTGAGATTTCAAATATGTGATTTGAGTTTTGGCCAAAATGTGGGTCAAATTTATGGCCAAACATGGGATTTGAAAATAAATTTCAAATTAAATTTGGAAAAATGTATGACCAAACAGGGGCATAGTATATTAATGTGAATCTCTTACCTTACAATGTTTTGACATTGAATTAATGTGTCTCCTCGATTGACAAGAATAGCACCAAATATTCACCTAATAAAGAAAAAGTAAAAGCTAATTCAAGAATTCATCTTTTCTTTGGCTAAAAGTCAATATTATCTTCTCTAGCAGGGCTGCAAAATTAAAGCATGCATCATTAAGTTCTTTTTTACTTTTTCCCTCTCCTTATCCAACTTTGGTAAGTCCATGCGGCGGCTTCAACCAAAAGGTTGGGTGGAAGGGGATTAAAACACGGAAGGCAGGATTTTTTATTAGGAATTCAAAAATAAAATAAAAAACAAGCAAAATAGGTATGTCGCCCATTTTTATTAAGGAACTAAGAGAGTTTATCATTTAATTTATATACATAAAAATAAATTTAAGAGAAATTTTCATAAAGCACTATCTTTTAGTGGTAATTGGCTATCTATAGATATCATTTGCTATATTACGGATTGTAGATACGTTTTCTGTTGCTATAAGATGTATTAGATGTATTTAAGCTATTGTATTCATGAATACAGTAGCAAAAATAGGTATGAATCAGGGAAATCCAGCTAATCAGTTGTTGTATTCGAGTGTATTCGACTGTATTCATGGCATGAAACATGGGATTGCAACTGGACAGATTATTATATTCGACTGTATTCACGGCGTGAAACAGGGGATTACACTGTTTTTAACCGGAAAGTGAATCAATAAACATAATAGACTCCTAATATAACTCAACAAACTCAATTATAACACACAAATTTTGTATTTCCAGTTATAAAAAAGATTCTCAACCGAAAAATACCCTAAAAGTATAGCAATCTTCAGAGAAATTATATATACATCTGAATACATAAATTATATTAATTAAAAAAACATATGAATGCATTCATGGCATATAGCGAGACAGTGAATACAATGAAATACACAGAATACAGTGGGATACATTGAAATACAATGAAAAAAAAGACAGTGAATACAATAAAATACAGCGAGATACATTGAATTACTATGAAAAAAAAAGACAATAAATACAATGAAATACATGAAAATACAGCGTGATATATTAAAAATACATTGAAATATATTAACAGAAAATCAAGTTGCTCAGCCCCAAACTCCGTCGTCTTTGTTCAAGAACAAACCCTAATTTCCAGCGAAACCGCCGTCGAGCAAAAATCCTGAACAACTTCAGCCAGAGGAGTGGATTGAGGTGTTGGCAATGGAGAAGTTCTACAAACAGGACAAGTTGGATTTAACCTCAGCCATAATTTTAAGTGAAACAAATGCCCACAATCTGGCAATAGCCTTAACATGTCACTGTTCTTGTAATCCGCCAAACAAATTGAGCAACAAGTCGCTGTTGAATCCTTGTGATTGACCTTAGCTTCTAAATACAACAACTTTGGATAACTCAATAGGGTTTCCTCATCAAGCCCCACTTCCACCACAACTTCTTGAACGTCCTCGTTGCTATTTTTATTTTTCAGGAATGGGGGAAGAGAATAGCATATATCAAAGTAGAGAGAGAAAGAAAATAGTGTAACTGAATAGCGTATTTAGTGGCTTAGGGGTAGGAGGTAACCAAAATTAGATATTTTGCTATAAACATTAAAAGGTATCTGTAGAATATAATATTTTTAAAATGGTATTTATTTAAAATAAATAAGGTGTTAACCTTTGCTATAGGAGGTAAAAATTCCTAAATTTAACCTTAGTGGCGCAAAATAGGTATGTCGCCCATTGTAATAGCGGCTACGTGTCTGACAACCTTTTGTGGCGACTTCTATAGTCGCCGCTAAAGTTTTATGTCGCCACTATTTAGGGGTGTTCGTCGGTCTTCGATTAGGTATTTTTAGTATTCGATTTCTTAAAATGCTATACCAATACCATACCTAATTAGATTCGGTATGATTCGGCTTTTCTCCTTTCGGTTTCGGTTAATTCGGTCTAGTAACTTCGCTTTTTTCGACTCGTAGTGCATAAAGCCATAGATTGTAATACTCTTAAGTAAGATACTCACAAATTCTAAAACAAAAATATCATAATATAGTGGAAAAAAAAGATGAAAACCAAAAACGCTAATTATAGTTGGAGGAAAGGTTGAAACGTAAATCAAAGAAAAGGGGAAAAGACAAGTATAGTGGAAAAGAATGTGGTAAAGGTTAAAGAAAACAATAAAAATAACATAAAGTAAAATTTAAAGCTTTTTTTTGGTAATTATTTATATTTTATATCATCACAAATCGATTACAGGCTTCCTCCAGAATCAGCAGTTTGGACAAAGAGCTCCCAAACTTGCTGTATGCTATCTCTATCAACTTTGTCTACATAGTTCTAGCTTCTAAGGATAAAAATTCAAATCTTTCATGTATCTATCCAATCTACTAATTTTGCGAGCTCTCACATGAATTTCTCTTATCACTTGCTTAACTATTTGGTCTGCTGATCTGCTGCTTTCTTGAAAATCCTTCCATTCCTTTCCTGCCATACATGATACACTCCACAAGCTAGTGTCATTCTGTATATCTCCTGTTTAGCAATCTTCCCTGTGGTATTTTCTATAGCCCATTGTATTTCGTGCTTCCAGTTCCATACTTCTCTCTTTATGCCTTGCCAAGTTAGGAGCTTTGACCATATCTGTTGAGCATACATGCATTCAAATAGTAGATGGTCTATATCTTCGTTTTCTTGCTTGCATAACACACAGTCCATATCCTCTAGGTTAGCCCAGCATGCTATCCTCTCCTTAGTTTGTAACCTTCTGTGAAGAGCCAAAAATAAGATGAATGTCCATTTGGGATGGCCATTGTTGTTGCAGACCAGTCTTCTCTAAGGGACTTTCTGAAATTCCCCACGGTAGGCTCCATATATATCCTTTATTGAGTATTTAGTCATAACAGCTACATCTGTTTCCTGGAGGCCTATTTTTTCAAACATGTTCTTTGCTTTAAGGATCTTCTGTACCACCCATGAGGCTTGGGTAGCCTTAGTCTCCCATACATCCCTAGTCTTGATATAGTAAGCATGGATCCATTTTACCCATAGAAAATCTTTCTTCCTGCATATGTTCCATAGAAGTTTACCAATGGCAGCCCAGTTCCATGTATATATGTCTAAAATATTTAGACCCCCTGCTGCTTTAGGGAGGCATAATCTATCCCAGGCAATCAGTGCCTTCTTGCTAAGATCATTGCCTCCAGTCCACAAGAAGTTTCTGCAAGTGGCTTCAATCATTTGAATAACTTTCCTTGGCAGCACAAAGACTTGTGACCGGTATACTTGAATCGAGTACAACACAGATTTCACAAGTTGTAACCTTCCAGCATATGATAAGTATCTAGTGGTCCATGATTTTATTCTAGTCAGTATCTTGTCTATCAGGGGTTGCATTGAATAATAGACAACTTTTTTGTACTTAGAGGGATGCCTAAGTACCTAAAAGGTAGATCACCCTTGTCAAATTGTGTTGCCTGAAGGATCAGCTGTTGAATCTCCTAAGGGACACCACCAAAGTACACTGAGCTTTTTTCAATATTGGCACTTAATCCAGACACTTGTGAGAACTTTTGGAAGCATTGGACTAGCATAGTGATAGATTCAAGTTCTCCTTTGCAGAATAGTAATAGATCATCTGCAAATCCAAGTTGAATAATCTGCAGCTTTTTGCATCTAGGGTGAAATTTGAACTTTTTATCTGCACTGATTCCCTTAAGGTTCTGCTAAGGTATTCCATGGCAAGCACAAAAAGGAAAGGGGACAGAGGATCTCCTTGCCTTAGGCCTTTCTTAGCTGGAAAGGGTGGTAATGGTTCTCCATTAAGCAACACTGAATAGGAGACAGTAGAGATGCAACACATAATCCATCTGATGAACTTTGCTGGGAACTGGAGGCATTGTAGGACTTGCTCAACATATGGCCATTCTATTGAGTCATAAGCCTTTCTCATATATATTTTAACCATACATCTAGGAGTAATACCTTTCCTGCCATAGCCCTTCACCAATTCATGGCTCAATAGGATATTGTCTGTGATTAGTCTTCCTGGTACAAAGGCTGATTGACTTTTGTCTACCAGACTGTCCATTATCCCCTGCATCCTAGTAGTAAGTATTTTAGAGATCAGCTTATATAGCATAGTGCAGCATGCTATTGGCCTGAATTCTGAAATTTTTGTGGGGTTCTTAATCTTTGGGATTAGAGTAATAGTTGTACAGTTTATAGCTTTGTATAGGTCTCCATCAATGAAGAATTGGAGGACTGCTTCAGTGACCTTGCTTCCAATCACACTCCAAGCTTTCTTGAAAAAAAATGCATTGAACCCATCACATCCTGGAGCTTTTTGATCATCAATACTCATAAGGGCTTGAAAGACTTCTTCTTTAGTAACCTGTGATACAAGCTGCAGTTGTTGATGTCTATTAAGAACCTTTCCATGTTTCATTACCTCAGGGTCAATTGCTGGAAGTTGGCTAGCAGTACTCCCTAGAAGTGTTTTATAGAAGCTAGTTACTTCTATGGCAATGTCTTCTGGTTTGTGGATGATGCTTCCATTAGAATCACACAGGCTTGTAATTCCGTTCTGAGTCTGTCTGCTCCTTAGGCTGGCAAAGAAGTAGGCATTGTTCTCATCACCAAGTTCTAGCCATTTATTTCTTGATTTTTGCTTAAGGATACTTTCCTCAACTAGGCTCCATTTCTCTAGTTTCATCTTCACTTCTTTCTCTTCTTCAAACAAGTAATCTGGCTGTATGTGTTGGCCCTTTTGTGTTTGGATATCTTGCAATTCCTTTCTATATAGCTCCATCTTCTGCCCTATGTTCCTGAATTCTGGATTATTCAGTTGTTTAAATTCTTTCGTCATTACCTTGAGCTTCCACCATATGTTTTGCATATGCTGCTTTGTTGTAGGTTTATGCCAGATATTAGTCACCACTTTCAGGAAGTCTTTATGATTTGCAAGGCAGTTTAGGAATCTAAAAGGCTTTGAACTTCTTTGCACCTCATTTTGTAAGTGAATACACAAAGGAGTGTGGTCTGAAACCCCAGGATTTAAGATCATTACTTCAGTAGTAGTAATTGTCATCAGCCATTCAGTATTTACAAAGGCTCTGTCTATCCTGCTCCAGATGTGACCATTTGACCAAGTATATTTCCACCCAATTGCTCATAATTCTGCCATACCACTGGTTTGCAGGAACTCATTAAAGTCCCTTACTTCATTATCTTGAACCGGGTTGCCAAATTGCCTGTCTTCTATATCAGTTATTGCATTGAAATCCCCAAAGACTAACCATGGACTTTGAATATGTCTACTTACCCCTTTCAAGTCTTCCCATAACTCCTTTTTTGTCTCAATAGTATGTAAACCATAGACTGCTGTCAGGTGTATTTTTAGCTGTAGGTGAGGTATGCTAAGGACTCCATGAATAGCCTGTGTATTCATATCAGTAGCTTCAAATTTCAGCCTGTTTGGATCCCACATAATCCATATTCTTCCTTTTGAGCTATATTCATAGTTTGCACACCATTCCCAATTTGCTGCAACTTTGTGAATAACTCTGCCTGCATTGTTTTCCTATACTCTATTTTCTAGTATAGCTATCAGTGCTATATCATTATTTACAATAAACTTTTTTACCTCTTTCTGCTTGTAAACTTTATTTACACCCCTCACATTCCAAGCTACTATCTTCATTTACTTGGCTGTTTGGATTTAGGTTCCCCTGTATCCCCTTGGTAACTACATTGCCCTTTCTCCTTAAATGTTTCTCCAGCCTCAAAGTTAAGTGGACTAAAGCCATTCATCATATTAATGCCAGTATCACCCTTGATGCTTGCTACACCACTTTTAGATACAGATTTCCTTTTAGCTAATTCCCAGTCTGGAAGTTTTTCATTCTCATTTTCAGTATCCCTTATTTTGTTTACCTGTATTCCATTTTCAGTTGGAACACTTTCAATTTCTTCAACCCTGTTTGGTTCTGCTCTTTTCCTCCATTCCATCTTAGGCTTCTGTTGTTTTTGTTTCAGTTCTATAGCTTTCTGATTAGACCTGCAGCTATGTCCAACCTGAAGGCAGGTGTGACAATACTCAGGAATCCAGTCATAGTCAATAGCTTGCTCAAAGACATTACCCTTGGGATCCATAACCTTTAACATTGTAAGCATATCTTTTGTAACATCCATTTCAACTAACAACCTTGCATAGGAAATCCTCTCAATTTTTGAGGTGCACTCATCTGCATATAGAGGTATTCCTAGTCCACTTCCTATTCGGCTAAGCGAGTCCATACTCCAGCAATTCAGTGGCAAATTGGGCAGTTTCACCCAAATAGGTATTGCTTGTAACACTTCCTTACTGAAATCAAAGTTAGGCGACCAGGCTTTGACAATTATAGGCTTGTTTCTTATCATATATGGTCCAGACGCAAGCACAGCATCCCTATCTTCCATGCTATTAAGTTTGACAACAAAATAACCATCGTTATGGAAGTATATTTTTGGTTTACTGATGAAGTTCCACTGTGTAGCAATAAATCGATCCAGCATACCAATTGAAGGGGATTCACCCACAACATACAGCATAATTGCATGTTGCCATTTCAGTGTTTCACGTTTAATCTCATTTGTGTCTAATTCAATAATTTTTTCACCATTTTTTACTATCGGAGCAATAAATTTGAGGCTCATACCTCTAGACGCCAAATTGTTCCCAGCAAATAGGTTCACCCACTCCTTCTTCTGCTCCTCTGCTGGTTTATCAGAATTTTGAGCTTCCGCTGCCATAGATTGCACTTCCTTCCTCTGTATTACCTTTTCGACCTCAATTTTCTCCACGATTGGGACTTTCTCCACTAGTTTCACATTTTGGATCTGTTCACCTTTGTCAATTGGAGTGGATCTAGCTGAATTCACTTCATGCAAAGATGGCCACATTTCAGCACTGCTTTTCAACTGTTCCATTGGATTCATCACTTTTTGCATGTCTTCGTTCCTCTTCGTTGATCGATTGTAGCTTCCTTACTCGTACTTGTGAGTTGAATCACTCTCTTAGGTCTCCCCCTACCCATGCCGGCAGAGGGGCACGTTAGGCCACCGTCAATGCGCAACCGTCGTCACTAGTTTTTAGAGAGAGAAAGTAGAGAGAAGTCAGAGCTTTTTTTTTCAATAAATTTTATTGCCAACAATAAATTTAAAGCTTTTATATATGTTATAATCAATAATATGTGTAGTATGTAGCTTGGTATATATGTCGGTACGATATCAGTATTTTATTTTTTAATACCGAATATCATACCTAATACCAATTTTTTTTAAGAACTTAAACCAAATACTAAAATATTGAATACCAAAATTTTCGATTTTATTTACCAAGTTATAGTATTAGGATACCGAAACAACTTTCCGTGGTGACTCCTACAGTTGCCAGTAGAAGAGGTGTTGCATATCGCAAATTGTATTAGCGACCATTTCACTGACAACCTTCTGTGTTGAGTTTCAATACTCGCCACCAAATATTGTAACATGTGTCCCCACTACAATTCACTGACGACTGTAACAACTAAATTTCACTCCTGAAAAATAATAATCAAGACAAGAAATATAGCGAGAAATATTATATTCGATTTCAAGTGATGGGATTACAATTTCTAAAATATCTCTAAATCTAAAGAGATGTAATCCTCTGATTCTTCTCCTCACGGATGATGGTTCAAGAGCTTGAGATCTTGAACTTGACGATTTCAGATTGGTAGTACGTCACGAACAATTTGAAGGTCGTCACGAACCATGATTTGGTGTTGGGTTATCACAAACGGAAGATTTGAAGCCACTTGCCTATGATTTGAGTTCGCCTTTGGAATTTGACCACAGACCATGATTGCAGATATGGATGGAGACCTTGATGCTACTCTTTAGAGCTTCTTTAGCCTTTCCTTCTGCTTACTTGCTTGTGTCTTAGCCTTCTTCCTTGACCCTTTTATATAGGTGTGGGTGGAGTAATCTCCCAGAAAATCCTAGTGGATCATTGGGTTTAGGCTTATGGGCCGATCCATTTGATAGAAGACCAACTGACGGGCTAGCCCAATAATACATTGAACTTTTATTTAAATAAATTTATTTTAGATTTAAATAATCAACCCGATTATACTAGCCCATAGTATCATCTAGACTAATATGTATTTAATATATGATAAAATCCAAATTACTTGTGGATTCAAATTTAATAAAATTTTAATTGCCTACAAATGCCCCCTGCTTCAAAGCTTGTCGAGGTGTAGACTTATCATAACATGAAGACGTGATTTGAAGTAACCTTTGTGGAGCCAACAGACATTGTTAAGTGTGACCTGTCATAATGAAGAAGGTCTTAATCCAAATAGAATGAACGA